TACACATACCCCAACTTCTTAAACTCCAGGTTTCACCTTATGTGAGATTGTGTAACTGAATGTGGGAGTTGGGGAAAAAACTGGCAGGAATAAAAGGTTGCTGAACGTGCCACAGCAAAACATCGTTCAAAGTCAAACGTGGAACACATCTCAGGTTTCAGGCAGTGTTCACCCCTGTTGCATCTTGAACTTCATGGAAGCCTTGGTTCTGAATGAAGCACTGAAGACCCCAGCTTCTGCCCAGGGCCACAGCTGGCTTGTTATGTATGCCTTCCACCATCTTTGGTCACAAGCATCTGTGGCCTATTGTGTGTCCTGCTCCTTTTTTTTCTTAACAGAGCCCGTAGGTTGTGTCTGCTTGAGTGAGGTCTGAGTCAGAATAAACAGACAGTAACATGCAAGTGGCCTTGCAGCATCCTGCTAAATTGTGAGTAAGGTTTGCAGGAAGAAAACCAGGAGCAGGACTGCCATCTCTTCTAATCCAATACAGCAGCCGCGTTAGGGAAACATTGGGGCTGAGCCCAACAGATGCCGGAGAACTTTTCCTACTGTTTTGAAAGCGGCTGTTCCTTAATTGGGTATATACTTGGTTGTTATAAGGCGTAGGCTCTTATCCAGAGAATCTGTGTCAATTCCTCCCATTCCTGAGTGTGTTAGCTCGATGCTTCCATAAAGGAATGAGACCTTGGCCTTTTCCTAGTTTTTGAAAGCAAACTGGCATAGGAACACTGCAAACGCAACAGCATGGGTGGCCTCCTGTGGAAAGAGGTGATAGAGATGAGATGCAAAAAGATCACAGGGAGGGAAGGACTTCTGAGCTCAAAGAAGGAGGAGACAAGGAAAGAAACCGAAGAAGGAACAAGAGCTTGGAGTGGAAAGTCTGGTTTTTCCTGGTCCCTGTTCAAAGGGAGGCAGAGAACACAGGAGCTAAGCCAGGACAAGCCTCTTAGCCTCTATTCTGATGAGGATGCGAACTCATGAAGGCTATGAAGAGACTTGCATTTTTGTTTGAAAGAAACAAGATTGCTATTCAGATGAAGCCTAGAGCTGAAGCAAACATACCAAGAAAGAGGCTCTGTAAATACCTGGGCAAGCCATACAGCAGGAGTTCGGGAATGAGGAAGAGCTTTTGGCAAGAACCGGGAAACTGAGAGTTCAATAGGAACAGAGTGGCAGATCCAGAGGGCTTTCAGAAGAGAGCCAAGGGAAGGCCTGGATGATAAACCAAGCCTGGCTGGAGAAAGGGAAATGCTCTGGCTTCATGAGCTCCCTCCCCTCCCAGGAAAGGAGATACTTTGTTTCTCTGGGCTTAGCTAAGGCAACATCTTTAAGGTCTATGCTTTCCAAATGGGAACCATTGAGTAAACAAGGAAGCTGGGGCCCAAGGGAGGAATGTGACCGTGTGTGTGTGGACGCCTGTAGTGCGCTGAGTCAGTTCCCTCTGACACTAAAGTGTCAGCATTTTTACTATGTCTTAGGTTAGACAGAGAATTCAAGAGTCAGCTCCTCTGGCCAGTGTCCTGACCCTACTGGCTCTTCTCTGAACCTGTTTTCTTTTCTTTCTTCTTTTTCTTTTCTTTTTTTAAATAATTTATTTAACTTTATTTTATGTGCATTAGTGTGAAGGTGTCAGATCCCTTAGAATTGGGTCATTGAATAGTTGTGAGCTGCCATGTGGGTGCTGGGAATTGAACCTAGGTCCTTTGGAAGAACAGAGAGTGCTCTTAACCACTGAGTCATTTCTCCAGCCCCTGAACCTGTTTTCTTATCTGTCCCACAGAGGTGACAATAGTCCTGAGATAGAGTGAGCTACACAGAGTAAACTCAGCAGGGTTCCTACTCATTGTAAGTATTCCTGATTGGCATTTCTAGTGACATTATGATAATATAATTTGATGATATTATAATATAGTATATATAATATAATTATGATAATGCAATATAATGATAATATATCATGTCATTGCTCTACTTTTTAACAAGGTATTTCACACTTGAGATACCTTCAGAGGGACAAAATCTAGCTTGGTCCTGTGTCCAAGAATATCAGAGTGATCCCTTCTTCCTGTTCCCTCCATCTTGGCCCTAGAGTTCACCTGTTCCCAGGCTCTGAAGGTTGTCCTAGGTCAAAATGCAATGTCAGGGCAAAAGGGGAAGGCATGGAAGTAGGAGAACAGGGAGAGCTGGCATTCCTGCTTCTCAGGCAGACGACACTGGAATTCGTCCTCGTCCTCAAGGTTCGCTTGGAGCTGCATGTGCCACAGTGACCGGAACCTTGCAGTTCTCACAGTCTGATTGCGAGCCACTGACCTCGGAGCATGGGAGGAGAGTGTCCCTAGCTTCCCCATCCCCCCTGCCAGGAGGGAGGCAGGAACAGAGGCTGCTGCCTCTGAAGGCTCTGTCATAAAGCACACGGTGGTAGGTTACTGGTTACCACATAAGCCAAGCCCTTGATCTGCATGATTGAGGAAACCCTTTGTTCCTTTCAACTCTCTATTCTCTCAGCTGGCTGGTACAATGACTGAACAGTCAGGTTTTTTTTTTTCTCTCTCTCTCCCTCTCTTTCTTTCTTCCTTTTCTCTTTGGATTTTTAAAAATAACTGGCTTGTGAGTTCAGACAGAATTGGGTTCCAGGCTTGGTTCAGGGCCAGGGACTTCTGTATCCTTTCAACCCCCTCAAAGGCCCTCTAAAGAGGGAGAACCTGAAGATTAATGGGGGCAGGGGAGGACAGGCAGAGGTGCCCTCTAGCTCAGGGTCTAATAGAGTGAGCCTGAGCAGTAGAGTGAACAGGACGTCTACACTGTATGATAGCAGGGAAGGTTCTGACAGACACAGGCGGCGGATGAATTTACCATCTATTCTAAAATGAGGGGAACAGTGCATTGGGAATACTGCGAAAGGGCAGCAGTCTGAGGATCAAATAGACTCCCGCCTGTACTATAATATTACAGGGCAATGTCTCAGTTTTAGGGAATCACTATTGGCTGGGATGACTTTCCTGTGGGCAAATCCTAGCATGCAATTCATGGCATGCAAAGAAATGTAGGCCAGGTTGGCGGGTGTGCAGTCTGAGAGGTAAGCATGAGTTGCTGTACACATAATTTTCAGCTTTGCAATCTCTGGCATGCAAACAAGGTCTGTGCAAACCATGGTCATGCAAATACGGGCAGCCCCGGCTGATGTGAAGTTCCATCCTGGTCAAAGGTTTGGCCATAGGGCACTTGGCTCTGCGGGACGCAGCATTCCGAGACTAGCAGTGAGGGATTCCTGGAACATTGTGGATATTCCTTAATTGGGAATAGGCTTCCTTTTCTCGTCTCCTGGGAAAGACCTTCCATCCTCAAAAGGCATAGACAGGAAGATGGGGATTCCCATGCTTTCTGAACTGCAGGTACCCCATCTCTTTCTGGAGTTCAGTTTTCTTTGATGTAAAACTAAGGGCTCTAGGAGATGCGGCTGCTTCTTTTCTTTCTTGGTCCACGTTTGACACTGCTAATCACTTTTCCACACGCATTTTGGATTCTCCGATCTCTGACAACCCTTTTCAATACAGTTATCCAGTTATCTACTAGCAATTAGATTTGTCCTTCAACATGCGATCTTTTGAACCCATTCTGAGACAAAATTACCTCCAAAGGGCCAGCATGGAGTAGATATGCAATAAATAGTTGTTGCATGAATGGGCAATTTTTTTTTTTTTAGGTATTATTACATGCCAGCAGCTGTTTTAAGAATTGTTTTAACAGTGAGCAATAAAAGTTCTTGACCTTAATATAATGTTTATGGGAGCTGGGCAACAAGCAAATAGGAGAAAACAAAATACATCGCATGCTAGGTAATTAGTAGTTCCAACAACTGAGCAAGCATAAAGCGACAGGAAGTGTCATTGGTGGGGTACATTGCAGTCAGGAAGTCATGAAAAGCTCTCTAAGGGGGAACACAAGAATGCAGAAGCCAAGAACCCACTAGATTTTTTTTTTGGTCTGACTTGGTCTTTTTTAAGAAAGGTTCTAGAGGCCCAGAGATTAGTTACTTTTCTGTTGCTATTATAAAGCACTGTGATCAAGTCAACTTATAAAAGAAAGGTTTTAACTGGGGGCTCACAGCTCCCGAGATCTGGAGTCCATGACCATCATGGTGGGAAGCATGGCAGCCAGCAGCAGGCAGGCATGGTGCTGGAGCAGAAGCTAAAAGCTCATATCTGTAAGCACAAGGCGGTGGGTGGGGAGATGACTAACTGGGAAGGATTTGGGCTTTTGAAACCTTAACTTCCACCCCCATGACAAACCTCCTCCATCAAGACCACATCTTCTAATCTTTTCCAAACAGTTTCGCCAACTGGTGGTCAAACAGTCAAACACAGGAGCCTGTGCAGACGACTCTCATTCAAACCACCACACCCAGGAATCTAGAAAATCATAGATTTCCGCTGCTCCCCTATTACGCGGCCACGATCCCACTGTTCTTTGTAACTCTAAGATTCTAAGATTCGCGGAAGCATCTGTGCTTAACTACACCAGGAAACATTGTCTGCCCTCTTTCCTCTACTCTTAGGAAATGGATTTTTAAAGTCCAGTTGTTTCATTTTATCTTCTATTTAAAAAGATCGATTTCAAGAGAAAAAAAATCAGTCAAAAACATCCATTCCATTTCTGAGTGCCATAGTAAACTGCAGGCAGCACGGAGGTCCTATTCACAGAGAAGCACTTGGGGAGCCTTTAATGTTAGCACAGAGGGCTGTTGCTTCAAGGCAAGGAATGCTGCACCCGTTATCCACCCAGAAGCCTGGACTGGACGTGCCTTCTCGCCCGGTGTCCTTTGTGGTATCTGTGTGGATGGAGACCACAGCAGACCCTGCCCCAGACCTTTATCATAAGCTTGATTGTTGTAGTTTGGGGGTTTGCTGTTGTTGTTTGTTCCAGTCAATCTATAGACCCCATCTCTACGAAGGTGTCACGTGTGCTTGACAGAGACTTTTGAGGTAGTTACACCGATCTTTATGTAGCTTACTTTATTCCTTAGGAAGATTTAGGTGTGCTTTAGTGTGCACGCTGGACTGAGTTAATTATCACTAAGAATGTTTCCACCAAATTATACTGTGCTTAAATATGCTTAAAATAAATCACTTGGGGTCAGACTCCCAAAGTTTGAACCAACACCGGCTACTTAGTCGTGTTGAATAAAACGGCCTTTTTTCCTCCCACGGATCATCGCTCTGCTGGATGTGGAGGCTGCAAAGACCCCACAGCTTGGAGAAGGTAAGAAATTCTAAAAATAGAGGTAAGGGGTGGTTAGAGTTCAGTTTTCTCACCCAAGGAGTCTCAAACTATAAGAGAGAGTGAAATAATACGGGTTCTTCTCCGTCTTCTGAGCAAGGCATTTTACACAGCTATTGAGATGTCTGTTTGCAAAATATTCAGAACAACGGCTCTAAAACACTGTACAAGTAACTGTGAAAGTCATTCCTTGGTTTCCCGTACAAGGAACCATAGATGTTGCCAATTGGAGAGGCACAGGGGTTAATGTGAAAAGAGTCTATGAAGGGGTGGGGCATAAAATCCCTGTCAATTATTTTGTAGTCCCAGCTGCAGTGATGCACGGCTTGAGTCCCCTCCAGGAGAACCAGACAGAGGAAGATCCTCTGGACACATCTTGGCAGGGGGCTATGGCTCCTACATTTAATGAGACTGATTTAGATACTTACGCTGCCTCCTCTTCCAAACACACCAAATTTGTGTTCATGTACAACAAATACTCATCCTCATCAATCTGATTCAGAAATTCAGTGGGTGCTGCCTCCCTTTCGGAGACTACTTACACCTCTCAAAGGCGAGGGACATAATCAACAGGAAAACGATTGGACCTTTTCCCATCCAGCTCTTGCGATGCCTTTAATTTTAAGCCCTCAACACCCAAATGTGTGTCAACAATGCTAATTTTCTTTTGAGTTCTTAAAGAATCTCAGAAAATCTGTTGCTGCCGGTGGCATGCATGCTCCATTTACTGATATGATATGAGAAAGTTTAAACAGGGATATTGTGACTCCTTGGGACAGTAAGCAAGTCTGTAAAGCTTCCTTAGCCCTGGGACAATACTGGAGATGAAAAGCAAAATATTATGAAGAATGTGCTGAACAGACAGAAAGGGATCTTAGCCATAATGTCCCTACTGATTCGGTCATGCTTGGGGAGTGTAATATGGTGGTACTCTAGCACAGATGAATGATTTGGCCCAGTATTTTGACCAAGTACACCTTTGTGAACAGCAAGCGCAGAGAACTGCTCCTGATCATGGAGAAGCTGTGGCCTCCCTCCCCACTTTATTTATTTATTTGCTTGACTTTAGAAAAAAAAAAATAATTAGTTCAATTTACATCTCGGTCATAGGCCCCTCCCTCCTTCTCTGTCCGCATTAAAACGAAAGGTAAATGAGTTTTCTCTTCAAGGTAAGAAAGCAGTGCAACAGAAGATTACTTCTGAGGAGGCTGTAGATACCCTGATCAAGCAGCTTGGGTTGGTGCAGCCATCAAACAGTGTGGAGCTACCGAAGCACCAGCAAAACACGGTGAGTTTTCTAACTGGGTAGCGGCTACTCAAGATGTTGGCAGCTCTTCTCATGTTGCAGCCATCGCACAGCAGATATTCAAAAAAACTTCCCCAAAGGGACCTTACTTTGAATGTAAGAATAAAAGACACTGAAAATACTGGTGCAAAAAAAAAAAAAAATCTAGTAATCCAACCCCTTGCTTTTGCTCATGATGTCAAAGAGGAAAAAACTGGGCTAAGGAATGGCAATCCAAATTTGACAAGGATGGTAATCCTTTAAACTCCCAAGGGGGAAACCCCCAACCCTAGACTCAAGGGCCAAATTGGCCTAGACAAACTGAAGGAGACTCAAAAGCTATATCCAGTCACTTAGGAGGAGCAACAGGATCTAGTGCAAAGGGACTGAATCCCTCAGCTTTATGGACAAGACCTTTCCCTGAGGATGGGCCTCCTGTGGTGACCTTATACACGGAGAACTATTCTTGCAGAAGCAGTCTAGATAATAACAGACCATTCTGTTATTATCAATAACAAGGCCCCCACACTGAGCAGTGTCCAGAGGCCCGCCTTTACAAGCTGTTGGAGGCCAGCAGGGTTCTTTAAAAAGTACTTATGTCTTAAATGGGACTGATGGAGATTCTTCCTCTGGCACTGTGCAGCTTTGTGTTGTCCCGGGACTTTCATATTATCTGTGGGGAAGAGAAACATTATAGCAAGTGCAAGCAGTTGGTAACCATTACCACAACGAATCATCTGATAATTACAATACAGGAAAGTATAACCCTCTAATTGGGGTCATTGGTCAAGGGCCATCCATACAGCCTTTCAGACTACAGTGGATCTCTGATAACCCAGTACGAGTTGATCAATGGCCCCGTCATGGAGAGAAATTAAAACAGGCCCAGCTTCTAGTGCAGGATCAACTACAGCTAGGACATTGGCCAGTTAGTCGGTCCCTGGAATGCCCCAATTTTTGTAATTCATAAAAAGGCAAATAATACATTTCCACTCTTCTATGGTTTCAGGGCATAAATGCTGCTCTGAAAACAGTGGGGGCCCTCCAGCCAGGGCTCCCTGCTCCTACTGTGATCCCTCAAGACATAACTTATTGTACTTGACTTAAACGATGCCTTTTCTCTATTCCTTTACATCCTGACGATAAGGAACATCTTGTACCCTCTCTTCCTACAATTAAACAATCAACACCGAATGACCAAAAACCAGTGGAAAGTTTTACCACAGGGATGAAAAATAGCCCCCACGTGTGTTAATATTAGGTACATGAAGCTCGGAAGCCGGTGCTGATTAAATCCCCCAAGGTATTAGTCATTCGTTGCAAGGATGAAGTTCTCCTCTCCTGCTCATCTAATCAACACTTAAACTAGTTCTGTGAAATAAACTAAGAGCACTGGGCGTGATGGTGCACGCCTGTATTCCCAGCCCTCGGGGAGGTAGACACAGGCAGATCTCTGTGAGTTCAAGGCCAGCCTGGTCTACAAAGTGGGACCAGGATGGTCAAAGCTACCCAGGGAAACCCTGTCTCAAAACAGCAACAACGACTATGGATTTGGCTCTGCTCTTTAAGTTGCTTTCCAGAGACTCTCAGTTAAACTTTGTAAGAGACAATACCTGCGCAGAGTGAGTTATCAGCTCATTAAATAATGCTGCTGTTAAAGCGTTAGCGCATAGAATTAATCCCTTAGCTCCTTAACCGTTACTTACTCTTCCTTCCTCATCATCACCTGCTGGAATTAGGGAACAACAAGGTAATGATATTATAGAATTTATGCATATCACGGTTACCTGTAACCTCTTTGTGTGAGTTTGTTTGTTAATGTCATGATTTTTATTATTTTATCTTTCTATCCGCAAATGTTACAGAGTTCCTGGTTTTTGACAAGCGGTTGGTCAGATCAAATTCATGGAAGAAATGTCCATCCGCTTCTCCGAGCCACACCTCCTAGAACAGCCTGCTCCTGGTTCAACATGGGGTTTTAAATAACAGCCTTGCCCACAGCACGACGGCATGCAGGCTTGGCTTAAATAGGACTCCAGAAGAGAGGTGCACATGGGCAGAGAGGGAGTCTCCTCAGGGGATTCAGCTTCAGGGCTCCCCACTGGGGGGCATTCTTCCACAGTTACTGTCTCTGGTTTCTGTTGAAGCTGAGGATCGTGGCCATTTCCTCGTCGCTCAACTGGAAGTCAAAGATCTGAAGGCTCCCATGTATTTGTGCTGGCGTCACAGTCTTGGGGACCCACTGCCACATAACTCTGGATGTGGAGCCAAATCAGAATCTGGGTTGAGGTTTTCTTGTGGTTTACAGCAATCTCTTTAAGCTCGGGGTCCTCTGGCTTGGCCCAAGGTCTCTCTGGGGAGCCCAGGCCGACTATGGGCCTTGACAATGAATGATCCCTTGGAGTGACGGCACTGGGATAGTTTCTCTGAGTGAGGTATGGGTGGCAGCGGGCTGGTCATTGGCTTGTGCTTCAGTCCAGGCTTATTCAGGAGCCTTTCACTCTGGAAGTGGTTGAAGTAGGAGACACCCAGGGCTTTCACCAGTCCCTGGTCCACCAGCTCCTCCATGCCCTCCCAGGCATCCGAGATCTTTATTTCACTAGTGAGAATATTGCCTTGGTCGTCTTTGAGGAATAACTCCTTTCCAGGCTTAAGTCCCAGTGGTCGGTGAATGAAACAGATGGTCCAAATGGTCCAGCTTCAGGTCGATGAGGGTCTTCTGAAAGGCTTCCTTCAGCAGTTTTCTCTCAAAATAGGAGGGCCACAACTTGCTGAGGTCTACCCGCTTCACAGCTTTCTCTTTCAGCTTCTTTTGGATGGCTGCTCTGACTTTATTCTCGTTCTTATATGCATACACACAGTCAATCTGGTGATATCCACCATCAATGGCTGCCTTCACAGGTTCCTTGACTTGGCCTGGAGGAGATGTCCAGGTGTCCAGGCCCACGATAACCATCTTTGCTTTGGTACTGAGCTCCACGAAGGCGACTATGGTTGCTGCCGAAATCTTTCTGGCAGAGTAGATGTCTGTGTCCTAGGTAAGGAGGCTGGGGATGGGGGCTTGTGTCCTGAATGAAGAAACGGATTCTTCTGTAACTTCTTATTTACAAGAAAGTATAGACTTGCTAATGATGGGAAGAGCGGGTCTTAAACAACTTACTGGTAAAGAGCCTACAGAAATAAAATGCAGGATGATTATTTTTTCCACACTGATATTAATTGGCAGGTAGTATTAGCATGTTCCTCGGAATCTATAGATAATCATCATCCTAAAGATCCCATTTTAAGAAGATACTCCAGTAGAATTACATAAAATTACAACTAATAAATCCTATAGAGATCCATTTTCATGTGTTTACAGATGTCTCTTCAAAAGGACAACGAGCTTATATTTAATGTACACATTTCACATCCTCCATAAACAAGATTGTACCGTGGTTGTCTGACCTCAATCACTCAGCTTTTATGGGATGTTTCTCGGCCGTTGAATATTTTAACTGGCTCTACATATCGTACTCAAACTGTTTCTCTTATAGAAACTGCTTAAAGATTTAAGCCCAAGCCCACTATTAATGTTATTTCACAATTATTCTTTGTCCTTCAGACATCTATAACGAACCTAAGCCTTTTTTTCGTATCCTTATGTTCTTGTTCATTCTAATTTTCTGTTAGCACCCGCGAGTGCTCAAGCCGATGTGCTAGCTGCCTCCTTGCCCCCTGGTCCTCTGTTACAGGCCACTCGAAGATCTCATGAACTTCATCAAAATTCAAAATCCTCACAAGTAGTTCTCTTTACCTCGTGAACAAGCACAGCATACCATCTGAGCCTTGTCTGTCCTTCTTCTTTTACCTCACTGCCCTCTGCTGGTATAATTAATCCTCAAGGATTAAAATCTGGTGCCATTTGACAAAAACATATTAGTCATATCTCAGAATTTGGAAGTTTAAAGTATGCTAATGTAACAGTTGATATGTTTAAATATTATTGTTGCTTCTTCTCACAAGGATGCCATCTCAGATGCCATCAATTGTTTATAACCTGTTTCCTTTCCTTTCTCCCATTCCAGCTAAAAACTGATAATAGTCCTGCTCATATTAACAAATGCTTTAAGGAATGTTGCAATTTATGGAATATTAACCATGTTATTGAAATTCCTTACAATCCACAGGGTCAATATATTGTGGAACAGCACCATCAAATATGTAAATAACATTTAAAAAAAGAGGATATAAATACCCACCTAAATCATCACATGTATGCTACATTTAGCCATGTTTACTTTATTTTTTTTTTCATTTTAAGGGATAGTGCTTCTTTTGCTGCCCCAAAACATTTTGCCTTGTAGGAGACACAGCCCAACGTTAATTTTTGTTAAATGAAACTATCTAGAAACCAATCAGTGGAAATGACCAGTTGTTCTTCTAACATCGGGGCAATGCTTATTATGTCTTCCCAGAAAATGGAGTCCCAGATGGCTCCTGCTCCCGAGCATCTGACCAAGCCAACGCTTGGAGACAGGAAGACTTTAGCTCATCAAGTCAAGACCTTAAGAAGAAAACAAGGACACAATACTACTGACCCCCAAAATGTTGCTGTTATGTTTACTGACTGTATTACATGTTAATTTTCAGTTTGCCAATATAGAATCCAAATGCCTTCTGTCAGGGAGAGAAAATTCACGCCCCTAATAGAAGACAGTATGATATTGCTTTGCCATGCGAAAGGTTGTTTTTATACACTTTAAAAAAGTACCAGTACCAGGAGTCATTGCTACACGCAAAGAGACATTTCAAAAATGGCCTGTACGATTAGTAAAACTACTAACATTGCAGCAAGCATATTGGTAGAAATTAACCAAGAAATGGGTGAATTGAGAGCCACAGTCCTACAGAATGGCACTACTCTATATATTATTCGTTGCTCAATCATAATCTTGATGGTCAGCAATTTCCTTTTAAAGTATGTGTTGCTTTAATATGACAGATGTCTCTCATACTATCGATGGTCAAATTAATGATCCGCCCTAAAAAGACAGACAAAATCTCTCAAGCAACCTTTGAAGGCCACCCTGACTAAGATGGCTTTCCCCTTTCCTTGGTCCCCCGATAACGATTCTTGTAATCCCGTTCTGCTTGTTTGTAATAGTTAGACTAGCCATGCAGGCAATGTATACAACCTCAGCCTCTACTACAGCCCCCACTTTCTCTTTAAAAATTAAAAAAAGTGGGGGAGATGTTGGAGTTGTGGAGGGCCTTATGCTCACAGATAAGCACTAGGAGAATCTGGAATGTTGGCACACAGGGTTCTTGCTGCTCTATCTGTTACCTTCCCAGAAGCCTGGGAGGGACATGTCTGACCTTAGTGCTGTCTGTGTGGCCAGAGACCACGCCAGACCCTTTTCATAGACTTCTTCATCCCAGTCAACCCTCAGACATGTTTAAGGAAGGTGTCACCTGTAGTCAACCTGTAGGACCTACCTCCGTGGAAGATGTCACGTATACTTTACAAAAGAGTTTCAATGTAGCCACACCCGCTCTTTATTTAGCTTATTTTATTCCCGAAAGAGACTGATGCATGCTTTATTGTGCGCCTAGGGCTGAGTTAATTATCAGGAGGAAAGTTTTCACTAAATTGGGCCGAGCTTAAATATGCCCTGCAACAAACCACTCGGGGCCGGACTCCTGAAGGTGTGTTGAATCGAACCGCCTTCTTGCCTCCCACAGAGCGTGACTCTTCTGGTTGTGGAGAAACCTCAGAAACCTCCCGCAGTAAACAAATGGGCTGACGTTGCTCTGAAAGTTTGGTTGCAGCAGTTTCATACATGAACTACCTGCAGATCACAGAGAGGAGTGGGATCCGGTGCAGGTGCTCTACCTGGCTCTGGCCCCTGAGGCTGATATTTCCAGGGGCGGCCTAAGTCTCATCAGTCAAAAACCCAGTAAGCTGACCAAAGCCTTAGACAAGAATTGTGATGGCATGCATGTGACCTCTAGAAGCTCAAGCAAGACTGTATTTCAGCATGGGGCAGGGCAGGTGGCCAGCCCAAGCTGAGGGGCTACATGCATTGGAGTGCTTCTGGGAGAGGGAAGGTCAGTTTTCTTTAACTATGTATGACCCCTGATGTGTTGACCACACTGTGGAACAAACCCTGTGCCCAGGAGTAGGCGACCAACACAAACTGGACTTGATGGGGGTTGAACATAAAGTTGAGTGGGTAGGGAGGTTGGGAAGGATCTGGGAGAAGTTGGGAGAGAGGGATGAATATGGTCAGAATGCATTGTATCAGATTCTTAAAGAATTAATAAGAAACATTATTTTTTAAAGGAATAAATAACAATGGTCTCCAGTTACAAGGATCTCATGAAATGGCAGGCTTCACAAAACTGAAATGGAATGGTACGGATGCTCCAGTCAAATAATGTGTAAAGTTCTGCAAGATCTCACGGGAGGTAATTCTTTGTTTCTGGAGCATTGGAAGCTCTGATGGAGGAGCTGTTGGTGTTTGACCTGGGTCCTTGGGAGGACATGGGGAGGGTGAATAAAGGAAAGGAGGTAGTTTGAGAGAGTGTGGCTTGTTAAGAGCCAGGTTGGCTGACCCAATGGGTATGTGGAAGGATCCTGGGGGAGAGGAGGTTGGTGCAGTTTGAAAGAGAAATGCCGTATTTCAACATTCCCCTTTCCATTCAGCTCTGCCTGCCCATTACCAGAGCCAAGTAATTTAATTAAGTACCAGCTCTTAAATGAGATGCAGCTGTTTAGCAGATTATCTTCTACCCAAGATGGAGGTACATCTTGGCAGTGGGCATCGAATTTCCAAGGCATCTAATTTGTGAAGCTATAAAGGGAGAAGGAAACACAAGACACAGTGATCATTCTTTAAGAGCACTGACTCATTGCATACCCTTTCTCTGACTGTATCACCACACACTTTAGACATTCCTGTTGGCTTTGTCCGGTCTGGACTTGGAGGCAGAGATACCTACTGGCTAGGGACCTGGGGCGTGGCCTTGCTTGTTGTCACTCAGAAAGGAAGAAAGAAGAAACGAGAACACTGATAAAGATTTTAAATGCCACAAATAAAAGCTGTTCTATGTTCAGCACTTGCAAAAACCCAGGCAAGTCTCAGCTGCTTCAGGTAGGACTGGCTGATCCCGTCTGAAGCCAGGCTCAGTCCCAAAACAGAACTTTTGTGTTCACTCTTCTTCACTCTGGTTGGGGATGTTCTCTCTCCAAAAGACTCATGGGTAACTCCCCCACGGCCTTCCCTGACCACCCAACGTAAACTTTTCCACCATTTTCCACCCTTCTGCATCATTCTCCACTTCCCTTGCTCCACTTTTTTTTTTTTTTTTTTTTTTTAGAGGGGTAGAAGTTTCAAGACAGGGTTTCTCTGTGTAGACCTGGCTGCCCTGGAACTCACTCTGTAGACCAGGCTGGCCTCAAGCTCATAGAGATTCACCTGCTTCTGCCTCTGCCTTTGTCTCTTGAGTGCTGGGAGGCAGTGTCACAGAGAAACCCTATCTCAAACAAGAACAAATAGAACAAAGCCTTATATTCTTGTCATTATTCTCTAAACAGTGTAGCAACTACTTATTGCTGTTAGGTATTATTATTAATCTAGAGACGATTTAAAGCTCATTGGAGAGTGTAGGATACATACGCACTCATTTTACATAAGGGACTTGCTCACCCAACAATTTCTATATTAAGAATCCTAGAACCAGTCCCCTGTGGTTACCAAGGGAGGATTGCACTATTTAGTGTCTTTTTTCTCTTCTCAAGAATTTAACTTCCAAGGGCAAGGATTTTTTGTCTGTTCTGTTCATTGTGGGCTTTGTAGCATTCAGAGCAGGTCTAGACACGGGTTACAGTTTCGCAAACATTTGTTCAGTGAGTGGAAGATTGGCTGGTATGGATCTCCTTGAACACAAGAGAATAATGCTATATAAAGCACCGTCCTGAGAGTTGCAGCCAGGGAATGGTGAGGCAGGGTTAGAAATTCAGGTCTGCATGATGAGAATGGAGGCTTTGCTCTCTTCACTTCCTCTCACACACTTATACCCCTTAGAGATTCTTGGTTCCCCTGGTTTAGCTCCAGTTCCTCCAGTTCTAGAGGAATGGCAACTCCCATTCATCTGTCTGGTTTGTTCACGGCTGTGTCGATGTGAAGAGACCTGTATACTTCAAGGTTCTTCCCTCTGGGCCCTGGATTAGGCACACACCCAAATGTCAAGTTCCAAGCCCAAACCAAATGCAAAGATTTATTCAGCAAGGCAAAGGGACAAGATGGCTGTAGCAGCAAATAGCTTTGCAAGTGTTCATTTTAAGGGGGAAAAAAGTGGGGAGGTCTGTATTAGAATGAGCTAGGATGTATTGGTGAGTTCTGATTGGGTGTGTTCATTAGGTCGGTCAAAATAATGAATTTTGATTGCTGGACCTTGATGTTTTGGTAGTTAGGCCTTGCTGGTCAGTCTAAGAAATGAGACAGCGGCCAAATAAGGGACTAGACTTTGGTAGCCAGCTTTAGGAATGTAATCTAACAGTTTAGCAAGGCGGGCAGAAAAAGGTAAAAGGTAAAACCTGTTGGTGCCATGTTTGCCATGCTCTGGCCTGTGAGAGCCCTTCACTGAGAGCCTCTCAGTGTGTGTTAAAGAAACTGAGGGAAGGCTGGAACATGGGGGGAGGGGGTGACAGGAGTGGGGACTGGTAGGCTCCACACCTTTGATGCCTTGTGATTGGTTGGATGCCTAGCCCCTCTTGATTAAAAGGCTTAGTGATTCCTTAGTGAGCAAGTGGAGCTCAATCCACTCACCCAGCTAATGAGTGGCAGAGATGGCATTTGAACCCACATTTCCAGAGCTCACTTGTCATGCATAAAGGACTCCCATTTAATGCTTCCTAGCCCATTCTACCCAAAGGTAACAGCTGTCTGGCCAGAAGGTCCACTGACAATCAATTAGGACCGATGCATCTCATTCAAGGTCAGAGCTTTTGGGGACAATGTGAAATTCACTTTTAATTCACAACTCCCTAGTTGTATCCATTTATGTAAAAACTTTCATGTTATTTAAACCCGAACCCCCCTTGGACTTCAATGGAAGCTTTGAATCCATGTGGAAGGTCAAAAGCATTTCTTTGAAAGTGTGTAGGGACCTGGTAGAAATCATATTAGCATATTCATTATCATCAGGGTTCTTTGAATGTGGCTTCTAGCCGTTCTCTGAAAGTGATTGGAGAACTATGGCTCTTTTTTGTTCAAAAAGCCCTGGACTGAAGCAAGGCTGCCCACTGGGTGCTGCAGCATATCTTCCAAAAAGCAGCCATGAATCTGTGCTCCATAAGGCCGTGGTAAAGTGTCACCCATGAGGAATCTCCACAGTGACCAAACCTTGTTGGAATCTGGAAGACGGACCTCTCTCCATCATTAAGACTGATTTGTGGCAGGGCCCGGAAAGCAGTGCTCAGCTGACAAAAGATGACCTCCTATGGAAGTTAAACCCTGTTCACAGGAGGACCCTGGGTGAGGCCAAGAATTAGGGGTACACCTGCAGGGACAAAGTAGTAAGCGCCAAGAGTAGTTAAGGGAACATGGTAACCCTAATGCCCAGGACTCTTAGACTATTGAATCCAATTCTTAGTGATGAGTGGAAGAGATCATTTGCTATGAAAAGTTTTCAGTGTCCCGGGAGACCTTCTATGCACACAGAAACATGCCCCCAAGCATCAAGGTTCCAAAACAGGAGGTACCATTGGGTCATCCCAGCTGACATCTTGGCAGCTCAGAACATGGTAAGAAGTAGCTAGGCTTTCCATTGGGAATGTAGAGCCAATAGATCCCAATGGCCAAGGGAACACTGGAGAAGAAAGATTGGAGTGGGAGACAAGGAGGACAGATGGGGAAAGGAGACAGCTTCTAGGTACTGATCTCTAACACAACCACAGAATTATTGGTTTCCTGCAGAGAGCATCATGCTTGAGGCCTTAGCAGGAGTCAGTTTTGGACGGGTAAGATGTGACATGGATATGACACACAAGTGAAGTTGTTAAGTGGGCAGCTGGGCGTGTGTCTGTGACTTACCCCAATGGTGTGGGAAGACCATGAAGGGTACCAGCTGGAGGTAAGCATTCCAGGGACTGAGCCAGGATTCTGGTGACACAAAACTAGGCCAGGCTCTGTCTTCTGGTCCTCCTTGCTCACAGGCAATGACCTACTACTGTTGATGCTGCTTCCCAGTTCTAGTTACGCTACAGTCAAAGGAGGGGGCTGACTCAACCCCACTCACGAATAAAGGCTAGGCAACCTCTCAGCTGGTCCTGGTCACACAGGTTAGTGTAAAGCTGCAGAGATTCATGGGTGGGGATTCTGAGCAAGCGTCTCAGAACATAGTTGAGTCCTTGGGAAATTACGAAGGATCTCTTGCTCAGCTACATTGATGGCCCTCACTGGATTAGGACTGGTTTTCACCTCCTCCTTTTCCTTGTGCTCCCCTGAGCTTTTTGGCTAACTCTTTCCCCAGGCCTCCATTCCGCTTTAAATGATGTGATCTGCAGGGTCGTCCAGCTTTCATGATGTGATCTGCAAGGTTGTCCAGCTTTCATGGTCTGGTGTGACTTTTCCTGGAACAACGGTGCACTGGGAATGACCAAGGGGATTCCAGACGCAAGGCTGGAATTGGGGAAGCGGCTTTAGTTCATAAATGCAGCAGGCCTAGGCAACATCAATCCAAAAAATGAGCTTCAGTTGAGTTAAGCACCGCATTTTACACCACTTCTGTCCCCTTGCCTGCTTCCTCGCCCCCACATAGCAACCCGGAGTGACATATTTTGATTGGCTATAATAAGCTTGTTTAGTAGAGTTTGCTAAATTCCTCCATATGCAGAAGGTTTTCCTCAAGCAGAACAATTAGCTACAGACCATTTATAGCGTAGAGGGGAGAAGTGAGGACCGAGGCTGCAGATCAAACATGGTGCTACACCCCAGGGTGTGGCCCAGCCGGTTGCAGGTGTTTCCCGTCAGCTTCTTAGACCCTTCTACTATTTTAATCTCAAATCCCTTCTAGGGTCTATCTTACCCAGATTTTCTATTACTGTGAGTAAACACCATGACCAGGAGGGTTTACTTCACCTTACAGCTCTTGGGAAGTCAGGGCAGAAACCCGGAGGCAGAGACCATGGAACAGTGCTGCTTAGCAGCTTGCTTCCAGTGGTTCAGTCAGCCTGGTTTCCTATAGATGCCGGGACCACCAGCCCAGGGTGGCCCCACCCACAATGGGCCAGGCTCTCCTACCTCAATCACTAATTATGAAAATGTCCTTCAGGCTTTCCTACAACCCTAACTCACGGAGACATTTTCTCAATTGATTTCCTCCTTTCAGGTGACTTCAGATTGTCAAGCCGACATGGGACTACCCAGCACAAGGTCAAAGAGCATCATCTGTCATCCCAGGTGGTACCCAGATACTCTGAGAATATAATGGTTCCAACATGCCTGGACAGGGCTTCTAACACAAGGGGCTGTCACTTACTCAGCATGAGTCTCCAAATGTTGGAGGGCAGAATTCCTTGGTGTGTATGTCTCAGTGTGTGTGTGTATTTGGATACATCCGTGTTCTAAGGGAACGTTAGCACATTTTTTGTCAGATTCTGTTTTTAAGAACCTTATAGTTTTTACATACATCGAAAGATAAGTCTGGCTTAGGGAGCTCAGTCATTACCAATGAAAAAAAGATAAAAGAATGTTAACAGAATGTTAAAAATTATATGTATGTATATATGTACGTATATTTATATCTCTTTTTAAAAGTCTTCTAAAGAGAGCAATAAAAACTATTAGGAGAAGGAAAACAAAAACCAACATAACATTTTCCTAACTATCACTCATTTAAGACCCAACAGAAGGTTTTTGCCATGTTTCCAGTTGGGGCTGTGGCAGTGAGGCCACAATAAAGATTGGGACAAGTGTGGATAATGTCGAAGTGTGTGTAATGCATAAGGAAATGAAAAAAAGCCTACTTGTTCCTGTAGGTCGTCAAATCCCCGAGTTTCTGCTACGCACAGTCTGCTTAGCTCCCAGAGCAGCTAGAGCAATGACGCAGACATCTTGCCGTCCTCCAGTTTCTAGGCTTCCTGGCGTCAAGCAAGCATGTCCAACAGGGGTGCCCCTGGGGCTTTACACCCAGAACAAGGGATTCAGGCCCTCATCCTTACTAGTTAGGACTTGAATTTATGTTCTTACACAGTTGCCTTGGCTTTGTAACTGTCCTTCAGAAAATGCGTTCAAAATGCTATATAGCTAAAGAGCATAATGCAGCTCTGGAGAACAATATGCAAACTGAGCACATATTTTGATTTTTCGGAAGTGTTGACCCTGGAGGAATTTGACTTCTTGTTGAGTGGCTCTTAAATACTTTTTTTTTTTTTTTTTACAGTATATTAAATTTTTTTAACTAATATTTTCAGGGGTTTTTTTTGTTTGTTTGTTTTGTGATATTCATCAGAAACATATTGTGATAAGATTGATGAATTTTGGCAGTTATAGCTCTCGTAAGTAGTCATTGGATAAACCCTCATATGCATGGAGCCATATAACATCTAACTGTATTCATGACTCCTACGACCATAGCAAGGGAATCATCTTCCTTTTTTTTAGTCTTAAGCTCAGGGGGTCCTGCAGAGACTGCTGCACCAACCCAGGACCATGCATGGAGAGGACCTACACCTCTTGCCCAGATGCAGCTGATAGGCAGCTCAGTCTCCATGTGGGTTTCCAAGTAAGGGGAGCAGAGGCTGTCTCTGACATGGACTCTGTCGCCTACTCTTTGATCACTTGGCCCTGTTGATGCAGCCTTGCCAGGCCACAGAGAAAGAGGATCCAGGCAGTCCTGATGAGGCTTGACAAGCTATGCGCAGATGGCAGAGGAGGAGACTGTCAGTGGACTAGGGGAAGGGGATGACGGGAAGAGGCAGAGAGGGTAGGACTGGGAGGAGTTGAGGGAGGGGTCTTCAATCAGGATATACAATGAATAAATTGTAAAAACATTTTTAAAAAATCCTTCACAGGTGTCCCCAGCTGCTTAGGTTTTGGTTGATTCCAGATGTTGTCAACTTGAAAACCAAGATGATCCATGACACCAAGTATAATACAAATCTTTTTTCTTAGCATCATAATCAGGGTAACATCCCCCAAACCATTTGGCTTGTGGCATCCAGCTGACTAGACACTCCCAAAAGGTCATCCTGATATAATTGATAGACTTTTGTTGATTATTTTATATTTTTATTTATTGTTGATGGCAAAAATATAGTCTACTTGAATTTTGTAACTATTTGTTTATAGTCTTAAACACATTTGGAATTCCTCTGGGGACCCCTTTAGAGTCACTTAGATATCAAAGGACTCAGATATTGTCCTCCTACCCCTGGAATTAGCTTTGCTAAGAGGAGGAGAATAGAGGGCCAGGGTAAAGGGTACGGCCAGTGTGCAGGCCCCACCAACCTAGTGGTAGGCGTGGGTAAAAAAGTTCCCTTGTCCATAGCACCATCATATTTCAGCTTGTGAGATGAGTACCAAGCACTTCTCGTTGCTCCTTGTTTGTCTGAGATGTTCACAGTGTGGGTACAGGCTCCAAGATGCCACATTAGACAAGAGAACTTATCCCCCTGTTGTGTGAGACTTGGGAAGTAGCTCTCCTTCCCTGTGGTGAAGGAGGCATTTGGTGGCTTTGCCGGTGTAGTCCGGAGCAGGAGCAATAGATTCCCGCAAGCCTTGTTTCCCCACGTGTTCCTACTCTGCAGCATTCATCACCTGGCATGCAGCTACCCACATGGGATCTGTGTCCTGTCCAAGGGAAGGAGCACTATTTTAGCCTGAGGATGTCCTGATATGCAAGCATCATGTATTTTAAATTTAGTCCATTTGATCAAAGTATTTCAGTCTCTATCTCTAATTCTTAGAGACTTACTTAGAAAAAGGAAAACCAAAATGAATTCTATCTGCACTGTGTCCTTTCTCTAATAAAGTTTTGTATGATTTGCTGTGAGTGCTGGCCCTCTGTCTGACCCTGTAGTAATAGGAATTACAAACCTAGGAACCACTTCTCTTAGAAGCTGGGATACCTCACATGAGTAGAAAAAGACTTTTATCCAGCTGGAGAAGGTACAAAGATAAGCAAGTATCTGTAACCCCTGATTTGGGGAAGTTCTGTAAAGCCAACAACTTTTTTTTTTTTTAATTGGGCTTTTTCAAAATTCTGTACTTAGGGAGGGCCTAAGTCACTGTCATGGGTTATTCTGGGCACAGGGTCATATTGCTCACAAGTTCGCTGGGTGTTCTGGCGAGTCAGAAAACAGAGTTGTCAGTCTGACATCGTTTCCAGAGCTCTCTGGCTGACATGAGTTTTCTAAAGGAACTGTTTCACCGATGCAGGAGCAGTGGCCTCAGGGATGGGTATCTTTTCTCTTTAAATGCCCAATAGTCCCCCTTTTCAGAAATGGCCTGAAACAGCCATTTATTGTTGTAATTGGGGTCCTGTTTACTTAATTAGGCTGGGAATCGATGTGGCTTGTCCCAATGGCCAGTTCTTCCTCCACTCCACTCCCCTCCCCCCATTTTGGGGAAGTTGCTAGTTTTGTTTCCCAGTGGGCTCTGTGGTTGCCCCGGGCAGCAACAATGTTTCCCTTTTGCATGTAGCAGGAGAGAGATAAATTTACCCACATCAGCAGCAGTAGCAGCGGGGAGGGGGAAAGTCTTTTGTCTATTTGAAGAGCCAGGGCTCTGCCCTGTATGCATTTTAGTTTTTATAACCCCCTTTCAATGGTAAGTTACATTCCTCTCACATACTTGTTTAGCAATGGTGTAGAGTCCCATGTAACTATAACTGCTATATTGTATCACATGTAGCCTGAGGTCCCTGGGGACTTCCTTTCTTGTAGGATGCACTTTGGCTAGAGTTGAGTCTCTGTAGACCTAATGGCTTCTTTGATCAAAAGGAAAGCAACTTATCACAAGAGTCTCATTGTCCCTAGGATCCTGGTTCACCCTGGATTCTTTTTCTGGTTTTTGTTTTGTTTTGTTTTTGTTTTTTTGGTTTTTTTTTTTTTTCAGAAAAAAACTATGTGCACTACCAGGCCAGGCTTCCCCATGGATTTTAAGGGCCAAAATATTGGATTTCCCCTTTGACCCTCTGATTCCTTTTTGCGTAGGCTTTCAAGCTTTGCTGAATACTCAGAAGGACAGCATTATTGGCCATATGCTTTAAATCTATATAATCTAAATGAATTCTAAACAAAACATCCCAAAGAGTTTTAAATAAGTCTTGGCTTTGATTTGGCTCAGTTTCCCCAAGTGGCTAAAGTTTAACAAAGTTATCAAAAACTAAAGCGATTATCTAGATTAGATAACCTACTCCACCTTGTTTTTTTGAGTCATGGTTTCTCTGTGTAGCCCTAGCTGTCCTGGAATTTGCTGTGTAGACCAGGCCATCCTTGAGCTCACAGAGATCTGCCTGCTTCTGCTTCCCAAGGGCTGGCAGTGTACTTGGGCATGAGCTTCCATGCCTGACTCTAAGCACAATTTTTAGAGTTATTAAACATACTATCCTCAAGTCCTGTCTTAGTGTGGGTGTCTATGCTGTCATGAAACACCATGACCAAAGCAACTTGGTGAGGAAAGGATTTTCTTGGCTTATGCTTCCATATCACTGCTCATGCTTGAAAAATGTCAGGACAGGAACACAAACAGGGCAGGAACCTGGAGGCAGGAGCTGTGGAGGGGTGCTGCTCACTGGCTTTCTCTTCTTGGTTTGCTCAGCCTGCTTTCTCATAGAACCAGCATCTCAAGCCCAGGGTGGCCACACCCACACTGGGCTGGGCCCTCCAACATCAATCACCAATTAAGAAAAGTCCATATAGGCTTACAGCCAATCTTACAGAGGTATTTTATTGACTGGGGTTCCTTCCTCTTCAGTAGCCCTAGCTTGTGTGAAGCTGACATAAAATTAGCCAGCATAATAGAGCCTTTGTCAGCTTGACACACAAACAAATCACTGTTAAGCCACAACTTTTCCTTTCCTGTTCATCTCCACGATCACACATGTAAATCCCCATTACACTGTAAATGTCCCACAGTCTTCAAAACTTAAACACTTAAAAATTCAGTATTCTTAAAATAGTCAGTCTTTTTTAAAATTCAAAATCTTTTTAAAAGTTCAAAGTCAACGGTGGGCTCCTTTAAAATCACAATCCATGATAAAACAAATTTAAAACACAGCCCCAGGGGAGGTACCAGACAGAAAACTTCAACCTGAAGAGACTAATCACACCCCAGGAAACAGAAGAAATAAATAATATCAGACCAGCAAATCAAAGGAAGCAAGGGAAAATCGACACACCACCACAACAAAATAATGGAGTCAACAAACACTGCTCGCTAATAGCTGCACATCAATGGACTCACTTCCCAATAAAAAGACACAGGTTAACTGAAAAACCTCTGGCTGCATCCAAGAAACACACAGACATACATCAGGGTACAAGGATGGAAAAACATGGTCAAAGCTGACACACCTAAGAAGCAAGTCCTTGTAGCCACTTTAATATCTGACAGAAAAAAAAAAAAGACTTTAAAACAAAACCAATCAGAAGAGATAGGGAAGGACACTGCATATCCATCAAAAAGAAAAATCTACCAAGATGACATTGCAATTCTTAACATCTGTGCACTAAACAGAAGAACACTTTCATAAAAGGAACATCACTGGAGCTTAAGTCACACTTGACACTCAAATACTGATAGGGGGTGACTTCAATATCACATTCTTGGTAATAACAGGTTATCCAGATGAAAAAAAAATTAATGGAGAAATCTGGCACTAACTGATGTCAAAAATCAAATGGACCAAATAGATATGTACACACCATTTCACCCAAATAGAAAAGAATATATCTTCTCAGCAGCTCATGTAACATTCTCCAAAACTGACCACATACATGGACACTAAGCAATTCTCAACAGACATAAGAACATTGAAATAACACCCTGCATTCTATCTGACCACCACAGATTAAAGCTGGATATCAGCAAAGAAACAACAGCTTACAAACTCATGGAAGCTGAACAACTCAATGCTGAAAGAGAAAATGGAGCAAGGCAGAAGTTAGTAAAGAAAACAATTTTTTTAATTAAAAACTTTCTAGAAATGAATGAAAATGAAAACCTAGTATACCCAAACTTATGGTACACAATGAAGGCAATTCTAAGTTCATATAGCATTAAATACCTACACACACACACACACACACACACACACACACACACACACACACACAAATGGAGAGATCTCATATTAGTGACTTATCAGCACACTTAAAGCCTCTAGAACAAAATGAAGAAATAACATCCAAAAAGAATAGATGTCAAGAATCAAACTCAGGGTTGAAATCAATAAAACAAATAAAAATTAATACAAAGAATAAATAAAATAAGGAGTTGGTTCTTTGGTAAAATAAATAAGATTGACAAACCCTTAGCCACTTAACTAAAAGGTGGAGAGAGAAGATCCCAGAAAAACAAAATTAAAAACAAAAAGGGAGACATAACAGCAAACATGAAGAAAACCAGAAAATCATAAGGAAATACTTTAAAAACCTATACTCCACCAAATTGGAAATTCTGAAAGAAATGGGAAGTTTTCTTGAGGTAGACCACCTATCAAAGTTAAATCAAGATCAAATAAGCAATTTAAATAGTTATAACCAGTAGTGAAATATAAGTAGTAATTAAATCTCCCAACCAAAAAAAGACCAGGGCCAGAATTCTATCAGATTTTCAAAATAGAGTTATTCCTGATAATCTTCAAATTATTCCACAAAATAGCAATAGAAAGAACAACCAAGGGCAAGACAGTTTTGGAGCAGAATTCTATCAGATTTTGAAGAGTTAATGCCAATACATCTTAAATTATTTTATAAAATAGAAGCAGAAGGAACATTGCCCAATTTATTTCACAAGGCTGAATACCCAAACCACATAAAGACCAAACAAAGAGAATTACAGACCTATTTTCCTTTTGAACATAGATGCAAAAATTCTCAATAAAATGCTTTGCAAACCGAATTCAAGAACACATCAGAAGGTCATCCACCATGATCAAGTAGGCTTTAACCCAGCAAAGCTAGGACGGTTCAATATACATATAATTCATACATGTAACTCACCATATAAACTAACTAAATGACAAACACCACATCATCTCATTAGGTGCAGAAAAATCCAAAAATCCTTTGACAAAATGCAACACTCCTTCATGATAAAAGTCTTGGAGATATTAGAGATATAAGGGACATGTCTAAACACAGTAAAGGCAGTTTACAGCAAGCCCATAGCCAATACCAACTTAAATGGAGAGAAACTCAAAGCTTTTCTACTAAAATCAGGAACAAAACAAGGCTGTCCACTCTCCCCATACCTATTCAATGTAGTAACTGAAGTCTTAGCTAGAGCAGAGTAAGGAGATCAGGGGATAAAAATAGGAAGGGAAGAAGTTAAAATATCTTTATTTGCAGAGGATAATAACATACATAAGTAACCCTAAAAATTACCCTAGGTAATTCCTAACTGATAACCACTTCTAGCAAAGTAACAGGATACAAAATTAACAGACAAAAATCAGAAGCTCTCCTATACACAAATGATAAATAGATTAAAAAAAATCATGGAAACAACACATTTCACTGTAACCTCAGAAACATAAAATATTTTGAGGTAAATCTAACCAATACCTGTATGATAAAACTTTAAGATATTGAAGAAGATATCAGAAGATGAAAAGATTTCTATGTTCATGGTATCTCTAGGATTAATATAGTGAAAAGGGCCCATCCTACTAAAAGCAATCTACAGATTCAATCCAATCCCCATCAAAATTCTAACAGTTCTTCACAAAACTTGAAAGGGCAATTTTCACCTCCATCTGGAAACTCAAAAAAACCAGGAGAGTTAAAACAATCCTGAATACTAAAATAACTTCTGTCCCCACTCTTAAATTGTACTACAGAGCTATAATAATAAAAACAGCATGGTATTGGCACAAAAATTGAAGACCAAGAAATGTTCATATACCTATAGACACCTGCTTTTTTTTTCCTTTTTATTTATTACAATGTGTTCACTTTGTATCCCAGCTGAGGCCCCCTCCCTCATCCCCTCCCAACCCTACCCTCCCTCCGTCTTCTTTTCCCATGCCCCTCTCTCAGGCCACTGATAGGGGAGGTCCTCTTCCCCTTCCATCTGACTCTAGCCTATCAGTTCTCATAAGGACTGGCTGCATTTCTTCTTCTGTGGCCTAGTAAGGCTGTTCCCCCCTCCCCACTCAGGGGAGGTGATCAAAGAGCCAGCCACTGAGTTCAAGTCAGAGACAGTCTCTGTTCCCCTTACTAGGGAACCCACTTGAACACTGAGATGCCATGGGCTACATCTGTTCAGGGTTTCTAGGTTATATCCATGCATGATCCTTGGTTGGAGTATCAGTCTCACAAAAGACCTCTGGACCCAGATTTTTTAGTTCTGTTGCTCTCCTTGTGGAGCTCCTGTCCCCTCCAGGTCTTTCTATCTCCTTCTTTCATAAGATTCCCTGCACTCTGCCCAGAGTTTGGCTATGAGTCTCAGCATCTGCTTCCATATTCTGCTGGGTAGAGTCTTTCAGAGGCCCTCTGAGGTAGGCTCCTGTCCTGTTCCCTGTTTTTTCCTTCTTCAGTGTTGACAGAAACTCTCATGTCAATATAGTTCTTGAATCTTCAACTGGTCACCTAGCCTTAGATGGTAATTAATAATTACCTTCCTCTACTGCTCATTCTATAAGTGGTATTCCCTCCACTTATAGCAAGCACCTTAGTGGTCTTGGCTCCTTTTCTGGAGGAGTGACTCATATCTCCATTCCTAAAGGATCTGTGTCCTTTCTTATCTTGCTTGGATCCAGTTACCTGACTCAGCTTCGCTGCTCCAACCTTGGAGTCCATGCTGAATCTTTGCATCTGGGACCTCTTGCCAGGAGCCAATACCTATAATAAGTTCCTCCTTCACACTGGTTTCTCCACCTGCCTTCCCCTCACCCACTATCACTCTGCCTGGAGGAAGTTCCGGCTGTTTTCTTTCCATTTTATTTCCTCGCTAGGCCGTCTCTTCTCACTTCCCCCCTTTCCTGTGGACCAACAGGGATTGAAGATCTAATCCAGTAAACCTATACAAGAAGGAAGAAGACCCATTTCTTCCTGGGAGACCCTGTGTCTTTAATAAGTTATCTTTCTGGTAGTATCCTTATTAGTTGGGTGATGGTGTTGGAAGAAAGGGAGAAACTTCCATCAAAGTTTCCCTTGCTGGCTGGATGATTTCACTCAGTTCCCTCCCCACATTAGTTGATTGAACACACTGGTGAGGGAATCTGGGGAGATCCAGGAGGGAGGGAGGAAGGTGGGCTTGCTTCACCATCAGTTCTGGGGACACACCTGATACCAAGGGTCTCCTTATTGTTCTGGTCTTTCTCCTATGCACCCAGGACACTCAGCATCTTTCATGTCAAATTATTTTTCATAGGGGAAAGGAATTTTAAAAATCAGTCAGTTAAGGCTGGAGTTGTAGCACAGTGATAGCATATTTGCTTAACATACATAAAGGCATTAGACCAATTCTTAGCGCTACAAAGAACTAAACCAAGCAAAAGCTTTCAAAACCAAAAACCAGACCATATGTCCACAAGTGAACAGCTGAGAATTCAGATACAGCAGAGTAAGGGACAGAGAGAAACCAAGGTTTCTTGCCCTATCAGGTCAGAGGAACAGGCTTCTTTGTCTCAGGGTCATTTTTTCTGGAGCTTGGTAATTATTAGATGATTCTGAACAACAGGAAATGCCCAGGTAACATTTATGAACCCAGGTAAGTAGAGACCAAGTTTTTTTAAGCACATACCCTGTCTTCATTGTATCTGGTTGTTTTTACAAGGCTCACTGTGCCTGCTTTTCTGGGACTCAGCCTCTATTTTCTCTAATTCTAGAAGTTGTTCTAGAGCAGTAGACTGGGTGACAGTGATGTCTGTTGAATGTGTTGGTCCCTCCAGGAAAAGGGAGTCTAAGGCTCTATATCAGAGACCAGCTCTGTGGGCAGAAGCTTGGTCCCTCCCTAATCTGGGGGGGGGGGTCCCAGAAACCCAGTGCCCAGCCAAACTGGTAAACCTTCTTTGACTGTGGGCTTGGGGGACGGGCAGAGATCTTAGCCACAATGACCACTTCCCTCATCGTGGCTCAAATTTCTGCCCAGGCCCTGCTAAGTGTGGGCAACCGGGATATATAAGGCAGCCCAGGCTGGGAAGAAACCCAGCCAGAGGCTCCTGGTCTCATGCAGAGCGTCGTCCAGGTTTGTCACCCAGCACACGTCAGGGCTGATGCTTCTTCACCATGGCTACCACACTTTGGAAAGCTCGGGGCCTGCGGCCTCTTCTGTCCACACTGCTGCTGGCATTTGCAGGTAAGCCTTGGCCATGGGCATCCTCGGAGCATGTGGAAGAGCACTCAGAGGTGGTAAAATCCCGTGTCAGACAGGAGGAAGTGTCCCAGGGTTCCTTCCTGGGCTGACAATATCTTTTCCATGCTGTAGACCTTTTAAAGAAAGGGGGGGCTAGAAGGACCTTAGGGAATCAGAGGAAGAACAGGTAACACAGAGGGGCGGGGGGCTAGGAGGCCTAGTGGTGAGGAAAGAGCCTGAGCTCTGTGAAGTCAGCTCTGGAATCAGTGGATGCTGGATCTACAAGCATGAGATGTATTTCACTTATAAATATAGAAAGGGGGAAGTGAAGAAGATGGAGGGAGGGAGGGAAAGGGAAAGAGAATACGAACCTGGAATAAATCCGAGTAATGAATCCTGGATCCAAAGTTGGATAAGCCTGCTAAACCGTCCTTAGTCACTGACAGGCTATGTGACATTGAGTGTGTACTAAACATCTCTGTGTCCCCGCTCTCCCAGGAAGTGGAGGCCATAACACTGTCCTCCTGTAGCTGGATTGTGCGTAAAACTGAACACCTGTACCTGGAAGTGTTCTATAACCACCAGGAGCCATGTATACATGAAGCAGAAGAAAACAGACCCGAAGGTGTCAGAGCCCATGGCCACCTGCGCTCTTCTCTACTATCCTTCTGTCTTTGTCATTGTGGGGCTTTGCTGGTCTTCCTCCTGCTACTTGACTTTGGAAGAAGGGCTCTTGTCACTGAGACCCTAAAGTACAACACAGTCTGAACACAATAGGGGCACAAGGGAATACAGCACAGCTTCAGCAAAACACTGCTCGGAATCTCCAAAAATTGTCTCCAGAAGGAGTCAACGTTATTACTTTTAGGGGAGAGGCCCTAGGTTAGAGGTTTTAGAGTAGTGAGAACTCTGTCACGGTCCTCGCTGCATGAGGCTGGAGGAGGGTACTCCCAGGACGGAGGTATGCCTTCTAACTATGGAATAGAGCAAAATTGAACCTGGTTGATCAAGTGTCACCGGGGTAGGGTGCTGAGTCGTTTCGGGCATATGCTGGGTCATATGGCAGATTTATTTTTAGCTTAGTGAGAATTCCCCGTGGGTTTTTCCCCCCACTGATTTTCTGAGGGACAACAACTGTTGGCAATTCTACCAACAGTGACTGAGGGTTCGCCTTTCCCCACACTCTCACCTGCCTTTGTTGTCAGCTGTGTTCTTGATCTTAGCCATTCTGACAGGGGAAGGTGTGATTGTAGCATCACTTGTCTTTCTCTAGTCACATGGCTGTGATTATCCCCCTCTTCAGTCTGAGGAGTGCTTCCAGGATAGCGTGGAGGGCTGCTTTCGTGGACATAAATTCTTTTAGCCCGTTTGTGTGATGGGAAGGCTTTCTTTCTCCTTCAACTATGGCAGACAGCTTTGCTGGGTCTAGTAGTCTAGACTGGCATTTGTGATCTCTTGAGGAGTATTTGAAGGTCACTCTTCAAGACTTTTAAATTTTCCATTGAGAAATTAGAGGCTAACATAATGGGGTTTCCTTCATCGATGAGTTGTGGTTTTTCTCTTTTTGCTTTTGTACCCTCTCTTTGTACAGTACGCTTAATGTTTTTAACTATAATATGTACAGGGAGTTTTCATTCTGATCTTGTCTGTTCTTTCTCTCTCCTTTTGGTTTTTCGAGACAGGGATTCTCTGTGTAGACCTGGCTGTCCGGGAATTTCTGTAGACCAGGCTGGCCTCGAACTCTGCCCCTGCCTCCCTGCTGGGGTTAAAGGCGTGCACCACCACCATCTGGTGAAGACTTGGTCTTTTTAATGTTGTCCCACAGTTTCTGAATGTTCCTTTTACGTGTTTTTAATATTTATAATGATATTTGCTTGAGTGGTACAATTCCTCTGCTTTACCTCCAAAACATGTCTTTTTATTTTCTACTTGTCACATCCTATTTGTAAGGCTTTCCCCTGAGTGTCTAATTGTGTTATTGATTATTTAGTTCTACCGTCATTGCAGCTTAAGTTCTCAACATTTCTCTTTACAGACTTCTGAATTTTGTTCCTCATTTCATTCAGCTACAGATATTTTCTTGTGCATTTATTTCCTCTTCCTTAAATTTCATGATTTATTTGATAGAGTTTTTGATTGTTCTTTAGGTTCTGTGTTCTGGGGGTCATCTAGGTAATTCACACTGGAGAACATTTCCGTGGGACTGGCAGGCTTGGGTAGGGACATACTTTCCTGTCCTTTATTATTTGGTGTGTGTGTGTGTTTGTGATATGTCCTGGTACGTGGACTTTTTTCTCTGGTTGGGTGTCTGATATAAGATTCTAGCTTGCATTAGATTGGGTCAGTGCAGGGAACAACTGAGTGGAGGCAGGCCAGGAATAGCTGGTGTATGGTCTGATCATTTGGAGTTAGGCCTGGGAACAAGGAGATGATAGGTGTGGGTCAGGGGAACTCCACAGACAATGGCTCTATGTGAAGGGAGTGTCCAGAGCCATGCCTTTAAGTGTAGACAAACTGCAGGGGCAGGGGCAGGTCAGAGGATGCCCTACGCAAACGGGTTATGTGAAGTGTGTGCCTGGAGCTAGCGGGGATTGTAGCTGGTACGTGTGTGTGAGAGAGGAAATGAGTACACAGTTCCTCCTGCATATCCAGAGCTAAGGCTGTGAGCATGGACACGGTGCAGGGGAAGGTGTAGGTCAGAGGAACCCAGCAGGAAAAAAACCGTTTGTGGAAAGCAATGTTGCAGTCTTGTAGCAAACCTTTTTCTTAAGCCTTCTAAAGACTTGCCTGCCTGAGGTAGCCAAGGAGTGATTGCAGCTGGATCATATAGTCAAGTTATTTGGCATATGCCCAAGCATTATTCTCTCTTCTCTCTCTCTCTCTCTCTCTCTCTCTCTCTCTCTCTCCTCAGTCCCAAAATATCATTACTGTGTCCTCTTCCATAGATGGTTTTTATTAATTCTTCAGTTCTTTTAGGTTTTTGTTCAAATTGTCCTGTTTTTTTTAAAGTTTTTTTTTTTTTAAGATTTACTTATTATGTATACAATGTTTTGTCTGCATGTACACCTGCACACCAGAAGAGGGCACCAGATCTCATTATAGATGGTCGTTAGCCACCATGTGGTTGCTGGGAATTGAACTCAGGACCTCTGGAAGAGCAAGCAGTGCTCTTAACCTCTGAGCCACCTCTCCAGCCCCCAAAATGGCCTGTTTTGACCGCCTTCTTAGAACGGCTCTTCATTTTTCTATCGGTCCGTTTTCCCAGGACATCCATTCCCCCAGAGAAGTCATATTTTGTTTGCTGCTTGCTTGTTGTGGTGGAGACAGAGGTGCTACATGTTACCCCGAGCGTGGGCGCAGGAAATGCACCTTGACTTAAGGGAGCCATTGCTCTCAGGCTCTGACAGATTAACCTCAGGAAAAAGGGAGATTCTCATTCTCCGTGGGACAGTCCACATTCTGTTGCACGTCGGTTCCCCCAACACTGAGAAGGTAGCCATAACTGCCTTTTGTTTGGTTTGTTTTGTTTCAGCTGGGAAGCCGTTCATCTCTCTGCAGGGCCCAGCCCAGAGAGAAACCCCTTCCACTCCAGTGTCCTTTGACTGTACTGCTGGCCCGTTCAGCTCCAGGAACGTCAGTGTCAGCTGGTTGAAAAACAGGGATGAGCACCCAGTCTTAGCGCCACACGTGGTGCCTGCCAACAATCACTCTTATAGTGTCACGAGCAAGGCCTGGGTGACACTGACCAAGCAAGACAGCTTGTCTCAGATCACCTGCGAAGTCGCCCATGCGGACCTCAGTGAGCCCCTGAAAATGACCATTAATCTTTCTCAAGTGCTCCGAGGTGAGTGTCAGTGAACGGGGTGGTTGGGGCTACACTGGAAGTGTGGAGCTTTTGCCGGCCTTGGGCGCGTGAACATGGATGAAAAGTACGGGTTTCGTGGGCTGCCCCGCTGGGCTTTGATCTTAGCTGCCCCCCTGTGGAGGCTGCAGAATGCTGCCCTTGTCTCTTAAATATTCCGTGCCCCAGATTCCCTAGAACTTTGGAATAAAATCACACCTGTTTTGTAAGTTTCCTCTGAAGATTAAACCTTCCAGAATGCCAAGAACTATGCCTAACACAGTGTAAGCTGTTTGCGAATGTTCGACCTTGCTGTTCTATTAGCATTCCTCTCTAAACGCATTTGTCCTATGTATATCACTGCTGTCACTTAAAAATCTCTAAGTACTTACTATCAGCCGGACCTGGTGGTACCAGGCATGTACTTTCAGCTTCTTAGGAAGCCGAGGCAGGAATATGACATGTTCCAGACCTGTGAGGATTAAGCCTGAGTTCAAGGCTAGCCTGAGCAACTTAGTGAAATAAAATAAGTGAAAGGGGGCTAGGAGTGTACTCCCGTGGTGGAGCGCTTATGTGTGTGGAAGGTCCCGAGTTCTGGGAAATCTTCAGTACTGACTGAAGTATTTTTCACTCAATAAATAATGAAGAGCTACTGTGCGCCAGGCACTGCTGTGGGTGCCATGACTTCAGAGTCTCTGTTCTTGCGGGGCAATTCACTTCGATAATTCCTATAAGCATACATCGCCGATATGGAATATTTAAAACTTGGGTCAGATTAGACGTCCGTGGGTCTCCAGCTGTGCTTCATGTCCCTATTTGTCTTATATGAAACATAGAAAAACTGTTTATTTAAAAAACAAGTGATCCCTCTCCACTCATGAACTGCGAGCAGCTGTCCAAGCACCGCACGAGATGAAGCCACTTGCCTTCCCAGCACGAAGCGTAGGTCCTCATGAGCCCCTGCCCCACAGCTGTGGAGCTCCTGACAGGGTGCTTTCTGAAGGAACGAGAGTGAGCTTTCTCTAAGGGTGCGGGCCTGGTAGGCCAAGCTGCAGGGTCCCACGGGCACATAGGCAGCAGATTAGCCTGGCTGGATTAGAGGACAAGAGAGAGGCTGAAGAGATGGCTTAGCGGAGGCAGAAGACTCAGAAATTGAAGATCATCCCTCCTGGGATAGGGAATTAGGGCGGTAGGAAGATTTCACCCGTGTCTACATCTTGCTCCCGTCCAGTTATCCCCACACTGAACATCACCACGGAGCCCCTGGAGATCCGTGTGCAGCAGAGAGTGAACTTGACTTGCCATGTGAACCACTTCTACCCTCAAAATTTGCACCTCGTCTGGGCTAAGAATGGGCACAAGATCCTGACCGTGGAGTTCCCCCGGGCCACCAGAAACTCGGACGGGACTTACTCTCTAACGCACACGTTACAGGAAGATGCCCTACTGCAGAAGAGTGAGTTTACCTGCTGGGTGGTCCAGGATGACCAGCCTCCGGTCAAGGAGATCATCACCCTGGAAGCTTCCAAAAAGGCCAAAGGTATGTGCCTCGGTTCCTTCCTGTCCTCAGGGCATTGCGGCCCAAGGGCTCGGGGAACCCCTTGGTGACAGGAGAGAAAGGAAGTCCTCCCTAGTGGGGTCGCTTATGCGTAGCCACCCCCGGCTGCACGCCCCCTCTTCCAGACACTTCTTCCAAGAAATGAGCCTTCTTTGCTGCACTTAGCGTAATGCAAGGTTTTTATTTTTATTTTTTCCTCTTGGTTGCAATAAATTGCTAAGGTTAAGGATCTCTGGGCTCCAAGTAATTTCTGGGAAGACAATTAATCAGGTCAGGGAATTCAGCTGGATGTTTCTAGACATCAACTTTGAAGAGGCCTGAATTATTTCCCTAGCTAGGAAAAAATAAAAAAGTCATATAAAGTGCATAGAACTACCCTTTGTCACTGGCCTCTCTCTCCCCCACCCCTCTCTCTCCCCTTATCTCTCTTCTCTCCCTCCCTGTCTCTCTCCCTCCCTCTCTCTCTACTTTTTTTCTCTGCACACATATTCTGATGGTAATTTCTTCTTCCATTTCTTCCCCATTTGTCTCTTTACCGATTTGTACTCTTTCTCCCACAAGAGGGCGCTGTGACCTTGCACTCCAGAGCTTCCTTGTTTCTGGGATCCCGCTATGCTACCAGATGTGTCGGGGACAGAATTATGCGCCCGTCACAGGCAAGCCAGGGACGAGGCGGCAGGCGGGCTTTTCCTCACAGTGCATGTGGGCTCTAAAGGGCGGAGATATGCCAGGCAGCCAAACAGCTCATTTCCGTAGCAAGCTTCCACCCTGATTTCTATCTAGCCCTGTGGCAGAAGCAGCTCTCTTCTGGTTGCTGTAAGAATTCTCAGGGTTAATGATCCCACTCGTCTTTAAATTTCATTGGGGCTTATTTGTGTTGCCCGGTAGAACTAAGAAAAATACCCGTTCAGTGAGATGTACAGCTCTGGGTGATAAACTCTAAATGGATGCTTTTTGTAGTGTTTTCTTTTACTATTACTGTGTGAATTGTATACACCGCTACTGCTTTCACATCACTGCGCTCCACACCCTTTCCCTCAGCTCCTCCTCCGTCCCCCATTCCCTTTCAACTTCATTATTGTCACATCTGTATATATGCTTATATAAGTACAGCCTGCTAATTAACTCACACTCTAGTTTTTCTTTTCTGTCCTACTTTCCTCCTGCACCTGCTCTTGGCATATCTGACCTCATGACAGCACCACACTGACAGCGCCAGACGCCACAGGGTCCGCCAGGGTGTCCTCTCTTGACATCAAGGCCCCTTTCTATTTGATATTAACATATCAAATAACACACACCTTTCCAAGCCTTCCGAACCCCTCTCCTCAGTACTGACTCCTGTGCACTCACATGCCGGTTCTGTTGGGTTAGCATCCTCAGAGCACTTCCTGCATTCCAATCAGCCGTGGAGCACTGACTCCATATCAGACATGGAGCACTCCCCGAATATCACCGCCTATCATCTCGAGCACTTAATGCATAGCAGTGTTCCCACCGACTGCTATCTCGCGCTTTGAGGGGTGACAGAGCAAAGATGTGAGTCACAGCCAGCCGCACTAGGCCTACAAGGCAGCTGTCAGATCGCAAACTAAACGTGGTGTTTCTGTCTGATTCTCTCTGTCACCCGAGAACACAGACCTGAGCATTGTCACAAAACGCTTCTCAAATCTTATTAGAAGGTATTTACTTTTCCCGAAGTGTCACATCTGTCTGAGCCATTCAGCTCCCACAATCAAGTACTTACCCTTCAGCGACGGCTGAGAGCCTGCGGCTTTGTTGTGAGTTCCTCTTCCTCTGCGTTGTCTCCCTCTCGGCTCTGGGAGGAAGGACAGGCTTGTGTGTGAATTCGGCCAGACTTTGCAGTTGAATGGATTAGTATCAAACTGCAGGATCGGTGTGGCCGATGCCTGTCTGTGTGACCCCAGCAACTCCCTTTTAAATGTGTTTCATCAACGAGAGTTGCTAAGTGTCCCCGTTCTTGGCTCCTGCATGGTATCTACACATCGGGACAGCTTCTACAACGATGACTCCAAGTTTACCTGGTGCCTGTCCCAGAGCTGGGCTGAAAGCCAGACGGTATGAAAAATCGCTGACAAATAAAGAACTAACCCAGAGATGTAGCACGCAATGAGGATATAGAAAGACACAAACAGATTTTTCTAAGTTGATTTTGTACTCTGCCGCTTTGCTGAAATTAATGACAATTTCCAGAAGCTCAGTTCCATCTTTGATACTTGGGGTTGGTTCCGGTGCTGGTTCTAGCCAACCAGTTCTTGTCTGCCCCATTATCTGACTGGACTATGCTTGGTTCTAGAAATTTCAGTTCCAGGTTTTAAATGAAAGGTCTTTGATCCATTCTGAATTGACCTTTCTATAAGGTAAAAGATAATAACCTCATTTAATTCTTCTACAGGTAGAAATCAAGTTTTGCCAGCGTCATTTATTTGACTAGGCTACCCTTTTCCTAATGCATAATTTTGCCACCTTTGTCAAAACTCAAGCAGACACAGCTGTTCTGCTTATAAGTTTTTTCCCTGAGTTTTGTGAGCGGGTTGTTGAGGTTTTTCTCTATTTCAGCTTGAGTTTTCTTTAACATTTATATATATATATATATATATATATATATATATATATATATATATATTACTGAATTTAGTTTTCAGTTTCTGAATTTTCTTCTTTGTTTTATTTAGCAGATTCAATTTTCTTGAGCGTCTTTCAGGCGTTTATTTTATATCCTTTAAATTCATTGAGCTGTTTGTGTCTTCTTTAAACCTCTTTGAATTCTTCGATGGTGTCTACAATTTTTCTTTTACTTTTTTATCCTGTGGTTGATCTGGGTAACTCTGAAAAATGTTTCTATAGGATTAATGACCGTTGGGGGCGGGGCGTACTGTCTTGGTCATTCATTCACTGTTGTGTTTTTGCAGTGAGACATGTGGATGTCTTGCCACGGTTGAATGCCTGGCGTATGATTCTTGCCTGCCTCATGCTGGGGTGGTGCAAGAAATGTGTGACCAAAGCTAGATTCCTGTCTAGAGAGGAGAATGGTTAGTCTGGGTTCTTGGTAGACTTCCTAGGACCATCCACTGTAAAAGCTGGACTTCCGGAGCTAGAAGTGTGCGGATGGGCTCGGAGGATGGGAAATCCAGGGGGTGACTCTTGCTCCCCAAACTAGACCTGGGAGTGTAGGAATGTCACTTGCAGAGCTGTGGGGCAGGAGCCACCAGTGTTTACTTTTTTGTTTTTCAAGGTAATAACAAGCCCTCGGGGGATCCTTCGAGGTTTTAATGTCTTGTGATGTGATTACCATGCCCCCCCCCCACATTTAACACCAGCTTCCTTACTTGTCAACTCTGAGAAATGAGACTCACCCCACATTGCTAATTAGGAGTCAGAGGCATGAAAAGTTAAGCTGCTAGGGCGCGCGTGCGTGTGTGTGTGTGTGTGTGTGTGTGTGTGTGTGTGTGTGTGTGTGTGCACGCTATACATGTAAGCTGCCAAATTTTCTGTGTGACATGCCTGTGGACATTAAGTTCTCTCCCTGTAGCAGGGACTGAAGGAAAGACTGGTTATAAGGTCAGAGGCCGAGGCCCTGAAACTAGACGATCTGGTTTTGAACTCCTGTCTCTGTCACTAACTATGGACTTGGACTTGGATGTGTTTCCCCATCCGTTGTTGCCTCCTTTTTCTAGTCTGTGAAATGAGGATTGTAAAAGCTATGTGCAGAGTTGTTGGGGAATTTGATGAATTCTGGAAGAGCTTGTTAGCACGGCGTTGTTTTTTGCTGTGGGCGTTTTCTATTTGGTGTTGGTCTCTTTGGTCTTATTGTTGGCCATCTGCAGAATCAATCAGAAGGAAATATTTAAATCTCCATGAAAGAGGAAGCGATGGGACTTTGCAAGAGGGATTCCAGGAAGTTGTTCTCACTGGAAACTGATGAGTGGCGGGGCTTCTCTCCTTGCAGGAAGGAAAGACAGCTCTCATCACCTTGAAGGCCCCCTGCACCGGTTTACACCTGGAACAAACATCCAATTGAAATACATGTCCTCTGCACTGTCGACGCGTCAGGTGACTGTGACCTGGCTGAAGAACAACCACAGCCTCCTCCAGACCCAGACCAGCGTCTTCTCCAGTGGGGACACCTACAATGTATCTAGCATCGTTTCCATCCCACTGGAGAGTGGCGACATATTATCTTCAGTCCTCTGCCGGGTTGAGCAGAATTTGTTAGTGGTTTTCCAGAAGGTCATCTACTTGAACCAGTACCTCTGTGGTAAGGCTTTTCTCTTTCTGGCCAAGGTAACGTTGAGATAGGCTATGGGCTTCTCTTGGTGTTGGTTTACTCACTGAGGAATGGCCTTACTTGGTAGTGATGCTAGAAACAGAATCTGTAAAGTACTCAACTCTGCTCAGACCAACTATGCAGAAGTGCCATTTGTTGTTATAACTATCTATATTAACACTCAGAACTCATATCCTTCTTCTGGAAAACAGGATATTTACCCTCTGGGATTTACTTTTAGCATTGCTAGTCTATAGAAAGACTATTTGATGGGCTTGTGAGCTTCTAAATTTTAGGGACTATGTTGCTCTTAGATCATTACTTCTATCTGGATTTGAGTCTAATTTCTCCTTGTTTGATGTTGAATTTCACAGGGTGCACCAAGGCTTGGCAGATCTGTAAAATCAGGGAAATCATGATGTCTCATATCTAGGAGTAAACTTAAAGGCCCCAAAATGACCAGTAATAAAATTAACTACCTAAAGCATACAAATAAATTTACAAAATAGTTTCCTCTTTATTTTTTGCATCTGCACAATAGGCGAAATGTGCTGCCATTCTGGAAGCAAAGATATCATTCTACATGGAAAATACTAAGCACGTTATTGGGGGAGGGTCTGCCTCACTTAATTTGTACTGATATCTTGAACTATTTGCTCATTCTTAAACACAACAGATCCAGACATGAAGGCAACCACTATTGTAAAGCTGATGACTGAGCAGTCTTTGTTCAACTCAGCATTTACATATTCATATTCAAGTTGCTTTATGTTTATCAGCCTCAGTATGCATGGATGTCAAATAGCAGAGGCCTCTGGGAGGCCTCTGTACCCAAGTATTCCTTGCATAATTCCCTGGAGCTAGGACAACCATGTGAGGGAGAAAAGTCATAGAACATAATTACAAACGAGCCAATTATTTTATCAAATTGGCTGCTGTTTCAAACCTTTCCTTGCTGAGAACACACATCTCTAGCTAGGTTTTCTGCTGTAGAAATGTCTTTTTTTTTTGGTCTGAAATCAGGACTTCAGGGGTCAAAGCCTTACTTCCTTCAAGTTGTAATACATAAGGACTTAACATTATCTTTTCTAGACCAAGTGCTGAAATCTGTCAACTGAGACGTTGGAGAGCTGATTTGACCTTAGAAAATGTCTTAATTTCAAAGTCTTACAGACAGAGCAAAACCAGCTACACAGGTCTGGTTGGCTTTGATGTCAGGGTAGGCCCTGAACCTAGATCACAGCCTTCAGCTTAGGGCTGTGACATTTCTACCACGCTGTTGCGTCACACGAAGACCACTGTAAAGGACCCTAGTGGGGTTCCCAACCCCTCCCTCAGGGCCTGCCACTGTGAACACATTCTTTTGTATGCCAAAAACTACAGCTGAACCCCTTTTAGAAGCCATCAGACCCTAATCTCAGAAGACTAACAGTATGCTTATGACTGCTGTATAGTGGTAAACATTCTGTCTCTGCTGTATTCCTAATATTTGCTACTTGAGACCTTGGACCAATTATTTAACTTCTCCAAACTGAAGAGATGTTTTTTTTTTTTTCCTATGTAAAAATCTTAGAATCCTGGTCTCTAACACCTAGCATCTGTGAATCTTCAAATCATGGAATCACCTAATCACAGAGTAAGCCAATCGATTTGTAGTTTGCTAAATGGGTTTTGATACCTCATTTTCTGTAGCTCAAAATGAAAAGAAGAAACGTCAGAGATGCCCCTTAACCCATCTGTCCATTCATCGATCCAAACTTGGGTTCTCACGTTCATCCCTCCATACGCTTTTCTGTCTGTGCACCTATCAACCAATACCTAAAGCCTTATTTGTGGCAGGTGGTGGGTTGGGCCCTAGCAGGTGACCACAGCCTCAGAGAAGATTCCCAGTAGGTTTCCTGCAGTGACCATTTGGTTTATCTGGATTTCTGTCAGTTCCTCCTGCAGTGAGAGTGTCCCAGTCTTCGACCCTCTCTGGTCTGGTGGCTGTCACTTGCCACGTGCAGAAATTCTATCCACGGGATGTGTTTCTCACCTGGCTGGAGGACTGCCATGTGCTCAAGAGCGTGGAGCAACTTACACCTCGGAGGAACGTGGACGGGTCCTACACCCTGGAAGTCCTCAAATTTGTAAACACATCAGGGCAGTGGCCTGATCAAGTACTCACTTGCAAGGTGGAACATGAGGCGCAGCCTCCCATCCATGCCAGCGTCATGCTGTCCTCAGTATCCTACACCACGTGCAAAACCATCGGGAGCCTAGGTAAGTTTGCTTCTTTTCTCAGGGGCCGATGGGGGTCACCTGGGTTATCTCACTGCATTACGGAAGACCTCAGGGAGATAAGGAGTTTCATAATCATTGAAGTCTTGTCCCAAATTAGGAGTTTCTTGAACAGGCAGAATGGTCTCTAGAGTGACCATGCAGAACGGTTCTTCCATTGCTGTTAGAAGAATGGTCTACCAAGTCAACCTCTTTGACAGTGCCCTAGAGAAAGTTCAGTGCTGATCCACTAGTGACCATGAGATATTTGTCTCCGGGACTATGGTTTAAAGCGGTCTCAGGTGTATGAGGGTTAGCTCGCCTGTACACTGTTTTATAAGACTTACTTGAACAGCCATATCTGGGGACTGCCTTATGCCCATTCCAATGATAATTATTTCTACTTCATTTTTAAGCAAACATATAACCTTTGTTCACCAGTCTACTTACCTATAATAGGGTTTAAGTCAGAGTTCTAGTTTATAGAATCGTTTTGAAAATTAAATGTTAATTGATATGTTGCCTACACTAAATGTCAGCTGTTACTATTATTTGTATTTATGTAAAATTGTTTTCACACTAATTTCCAATAATTACACTTGCGTAAATTTAGTCAACATAGTCAACTATCTCTCAGGGATTCCATTTCCTCATCTATAAGATGTTACTGATAATATCAATGTTCTAAGATTACAACAAAGGTTACTTTAAGTGACAACTAAACCTTGGAGACAAAGCAATCATTATATTCACTTTGGCACGTTGACTGATGAATGTCATATCTTTAAACAGTGTTTGTTGCAAAAAATTCAAGAAAAGCTTCATAAGTCTCTTATTTCTGAGAGCTAACTGTAGAGCAATGAGCCCAAGGATGGGATCAGAACTGGGAAATACTTGGACCTCCCTGGCTACCATCCTCAGATTGGTCTTCTCAACTCACCTGACCCTGTTTGTTGGCCCCTTTGCTCTGTGTTTTTTAGGTTCAGAGAAATCTATCCATATTTTTCTGGCTTTCCTTGTGTGCTTCAAGGTACTTGTGGTGGTGAGTTCCCTAGCCGTCTACATATACAGGCGATGGAGCCTGTGAAAGGTGAGTTTGAACATGGGCCTTGTCGCTTAGAGAGTGAGGTTACAGCCATGGTCGTGAGTAGCAAGAGGACTTCAGAGTAAACACGCAGAATTCACAGGCTACACCTTCAAAGATTCTCACAAATGTCATTGAGCCTCAAGAGGAGATTATGAATACTCTCATTTTCTCCAAATATCTCCCAACCTCTAAGAGTTGATGGTGTGAGGATGCAATAAATAGTCAAGACCTAAAACTCCAAATACTCTGCCCACCCATCGTTAAACTGTCCTCTGATGTCAACCAAAAGAACACATCCAAAAGAATAGAAATGCTGACTGGTGGGGAAAAATGAATGTGCATATGAAGAGCGGTCAGGACCCAAGAAGGGGTGTAGTAAATAGAGGCTTAATTTCTGAGCTTCCTTGTGAATTCAGGAAAAGGAGAGAACTGGCTACTTAGTGTGTATTCAACAAGCACTCGTGGAATTAATACGTGGATGAAGAAACAAACGAGCAAATGACTTCTGCTTCTGCATGGCCTGTAATACATTGCCCGTTACCCTCTCTAAGGAGCTCAAGTGGAGAGAAGACGCAAGGACCTGTTGGGGATCCAAGCCTCTTGCTCTTCACTCTTCCACCTTCAGCACAGATGCGCTCCCTCTGTACACTGTGAGAGATGGACTTGGGTTATTTAGGGATGTTTCTGGCCCAAGGTATGGAACTTCAAGTGAGCTCTTCTTACACCCAAAGGCAACTGAATGATGAGGAAAACAGATGTTCACTCTGTCTCTGATTGCAGTCAATCCTTAATTTTCCAGTTTCCACTACCAACTAGAATTTCTGCACGTATGATTTAAATTTAGCAGACACAAAACTTAAATTAGTGGACTGTTGAAAATGCATCTTTCTATCTGAAAATGGTTAAAAAATAGAAAATATCCCTGGGATCACTATAACATTTTGTAAAATATTAACATTTTTGCCAATATCTTCTACACATTTCTTTAAAAAATTGCCCTGAATTTGCTGGCTTTCTATCCCTGTCGCGATTTTGTACAGTTATGGTGTGCGCATGATCTTTAAACAGCATGTAGTATTTTCCACTTTTATTCTTTATAAAACCTATTCTATTGTAGACAACATTTTGAAACATTATTTCATTTTTATACTTAGTACACCCTGTGAATGTATTAATGTCGAAACGTAACTGTTTTCTCCATTTTGCATTGCTCTGTGGTCTTCTTGGTTATAATCTGCCATATGCTATTAATACATCTCCTGATGGACACTGAACCTTTGTTCAATGCTTTCACTCTTACAATTTTGTGAGGTTCTTTTCTTAGTCTCTTTGAGGACATGAGAGAATCTTTCTTGTTCCTCAAGCAGCTCACAAAGCTATAGTGTCGGCAACATTTATATGTTTTGTTACCTCAAAAATAAATTTTCAATTTTTGAACATTATGTTCTCAGTTTGTTACGAATGTGCACACACAAACACACACATTTTTCTTCCTGATCATGTGGTGTGTTTGTGCAATAGGTGACAGAGACCTTTTATTCCTGCGGGGCTAAGTTATCCAGTATACACTAATATTTGCTTTCCTCTACTACAAGCTAAGTGTCTATACTCTGGAGCTGTGTTGAGAAACACTTTATTCCATTAATCTTCTCATCTGCCTCTGTCAGGACTATGCTTTTATACTTTTTGTTTTATACTTTTGTTTCCCCTTCTAGGAAAATTGTTTTACTTTTTCTCATTCAAAAATGTGTTTCTTTTTCTTTGTGCTTTTACATATTTTTAAGAAGTTACTTACCACATGAACACTCTGGAAATGGTATCAAACATTCCCCTAAAAATATCAGCAGAACCAGTGTGGCTTCGATGTCATTATAAAATATTCTTTTCTATTAAAACCATCACATTTCAGGGACAGCCTAGACTACAGAACTAGTTTCAGGTCATCTAGGGCTGCAGAAAGAAATCCTGTCTCAAAAAAAAAAAAAAAGAAAAGAAAAGAAAAGAAAAAAGAGAAGAAAAGAGAAAGAAAGATAGAAAAAAGAAAGAAAGAAAGGAAGGAAGGAAGGAAGGAAGGAAGGAAGGAAGGAAGAAAGAAAGAAAGAAAGGAAGGAAAAAAATGGGCAAACACAAACATGAATATTTTTAGCTGGGCAGTGGTGGTGCATGCGTTTAATCCTAGCACTTAAGAGGCAAAAGCAGGAGGATCTCTGTGATTTCAAGGCCAGCCTGGTTTACAAAGCAAGTCCAGGAAAGCCAAGGTTACATAGAGAAACCCTGTCTTGAAAAACCAAAACCAAAACAAACAAAAAAAACCCTTACAGATAAAACTAAGTGACCTAATTAAACCTAACAAGGTGCATAAATCAGAGAGAAATGAGCTTTAATTATTGTGGGTACCTTTATCTACTTTCTGATTTCTATTTTTTTATTATTTGGGCATTTTAATTATTTTCACCACACTTTACCTGTATTTATCCACTCCCTCTTCCACTAAAGCCCGCTTGTGGTTTGAATGGAGTGGGGGGTGGGGGAGGTCCATCACTGTCTGGGCAGGTTTGGAGGCGTGGCCTTACTGAAGTAAGCTTACCACTGAGGCAGTCTCTGAGAGTTTAAGTCCCATAAGGCTTTCAGTTTGCTTTCTCTGCTTCCTTCTTGCATTTCAAGATGTGGACACTCAGATTCCTTTCTCTGATGCTATGCTTGCAGCTTGTGACCACGCCTCACTGCCATGATGGACTATCTGCAACCATAAGCCAAAATAAATTCTCTCTTATAGAAGCTGCATTTAATCACATCAGAAAATTAATGTGCTGGTTGGTTTTTCGTCAACCTGACCCAGGCTGGGTCATTTGGAAAGACATCAAATTGGCCTGCGGACAAGTCTGTGGGGCCATGTTTTCTTTGTTTCATTCTTTTACATTTTCGATTAATGTTTGATGTGGGTGGGCCCAGCTTGCCATCTCGGCACTACCCTGGGCCAGGTTGCCTTGGGCTGTCTAACAAATGCAGCTGATCAAGCCATGGGTAGCAAGCCAGCAAGCGCTTTCCTCCATGTCCCCTGCTTCAGTGCTTGCCTCCGGGTTCCTGCCTTGACAACCTGTCCTGGCATCCCTCAAAGCTGGGTCTTCACATGGAATTGTGATCCGAATAAACCCTTTCCTCCCCAAGTTGCTTTTGGTCATGGTGTTTTATCATAGCAATGTAAAGTAAACCGGGACAAGTCCCAGAGAGTGAGTATTGCTGTGAAGGACCTGGCCATGCACTTTGGGGGAATGTGGAAGAATGAACACTATAAGGAGAGCTTATTGGGGCATTCTTCCACATTCTAGTGGAGCCTAGACGTCAGTAGTGCTGGAAGCAATGTAGTCAGAGAAGGCCCAGCTGAAGAGGGTTCAGATGAGAATGAGGCTAGCAACTAGGCTACAGACCACTCCTGGGATAATTTGGCAAAGAATACGGCTGCCTTCCACCCGTGTCTTGAGCACATTGCCTGAAGCTAACTTTAAAAATACTGGACTGGGGCTGGAGAGAGAACTCAGTAGTTAAGACCTTGGCTGCTCTTCCAGAGAACCCAGGTTTGATTCCCAGCACACACATGAGTGCTTACAACCACCTGTGACTCCAGCTCTGGAGGACCCTATAACCTTCTTCTGGCCTCCATGGACACCTTTATGCAGGCACAACACTCATACACAATTTTAGAGTAATGGGTTAATTTCTTCGGCGATTTCAAGACTGTGTAATGTTGAATCTGTGGTGTGGTTGTTACTGATTCTGCTTATGTGCAGGTATACAATGAAAAGTGCAATAGGAAAGAAACGCAAACCCTGCAGCTTTGGAGAGGAAAAGAGCATTAGGAAACAATGTTACAGCCAAGGCAGGTCCGGGAAGAGAGGCTGTAATTCTAACTGCTAAGCAGCTCCATCAAGGAGCTACTTTATACTATGAGCTTTCTAGTTTTATGCCAGCTTGACACAGACTAGAGATATCTAAAGGGGTGGGGGACCTCAACCGAGAAAATGCCTCTATAAGATCCAGCCGGGGGGCATTGTCTTAGTGATTGATGGAGGGGAGGCGGGGAAAAGGGTATCCCACCAAAGGTGGAGGCATCCCTGGACTGGTGGTTCTGGGTTCTATAAGAAAGCAGGCTGAGCAAGCCATGGGAAGCAAGCCAGTGAGCAGCACTCCTCCATGGCCTCTGCATCAGCCCCTGCCTCCAGGTTCCTGCCCTGTGTGAGTTCCTGTTCTGACTGCCTTCAGTGACAAACAGTGATATGGAAATGTAAGCCAAATAAACCTTTTCCTCCCCAAGTTGCTTTGGTCATGGTGTTTCATTTTCATTATACCAATACAAATCCTAACTAGGCCATGTTACAATAAAGTAAAGGGTGCCTCTAGAGCAAGACCTACGGAGCCAAGCTTCAAACTTGTGAAAGAGAGCCTAAGGAGATCTCTGCTAGCTTTCCTAGCAAGCAACTGAGATTAGGGCCAGGGTTAGGGCTATATTTAGAGCATGCTTAGGTTTAGGTTATGGTCAGTGTTTGCCATATTGCTAGGGTCAGTGTCTTGCTTAGGCAGAGTTTCCTGGTTATTCCTGAGGTAACGTTTAGTTTTAGAGGTAGGGTTTTATGGCCAGAGCTTACTTTTGTTATGTATTAGGCTTAGAGTAATGGTCAGAGATATGTTTTATTAGGGTTAAGCTTCCGTCTGTTATTTACACCCTATAATGGTAGGGTTAGAGTTGGGATTGGTTGAGGTTATTGGTGTTGTTGGGGTTAGGAATGGTGCAATTAGAGGTAGATTTAAGGGTTAGCTTACTGTTAGTGTTAGGGTAAGTGTAGGAACCACGTTAGCTCTAGTCTTACAGCTAGCTTTAGCATTTGGATGAGGCCTAGAGTTGGTGATTGGTTTAACCTGAATGCTGTGGCTAGTTTTAGGATGAGAGCTGCCGTGACATAGTTTTATCTTTCTCATTATGGATAAGGTTAGTGATGGGTATAAGGTAGGTGCTAGATTTAGGGCGAAGGGTGGGTTAGGATTTGTTTCAGTGCTAGAGGGAGGGTCTTGATTAAGTTTAGATATGGGAGCATGGGAATTAAGGTCAGAGTTAGGTAGGGTTCAGCAGGGATGAAAGCGGGAAAGCAAAGAAGTGACTTACCATGCTAACATGGTTCCAGGGCAAAGAGAGTTCCTGGGTCAGGTCTGGGGCTAGGCTTGTCGGTGTTCAAATGGTGGCGGGCAGTGGGAAGTTGGTGTAAAAAGAAACAGCTTACTCTCAAAAGTGTCTGTGAACAAGGAGAGTTTGTGGAACGTATCTGGAGCAAGCTTCTCCAGCCCTAACCTTAATCTTAACCTACACTTGCTCGAAACCTGACCCTAACTCTAAACACCCACCACCCTATCTGGATTCCAGTTCTAACCTCAAGTCTAACCTTACCGTAAACAGAGTCCTAACCCTGGCACTCAACTATGTCTTGACGCAATCCCAAGACTATGCTAAGCCTATTCCAAACCTAAAGTCTAACTGTAATTCTATCGACCATAACCCCAGCCTCAACCCTGATCTAGCACCAACTCTGACCCTAACCTTGAGTGCAACCTTAGCTATATCCTTTCTCTAAAACTAACCCTATGTCTAGCTTAAAGTTAA